GTAAAAAGCCTTTGTTCCGTAGGCATAAATAATCTTAGCGGCCGATCCAAATGTTTTCCAATTCAAACTCAATACGTGTCGCATGTATTTCGGAAAAAAACTAATCGTAAATTAAGTCCGCGTATAAAACATTCGGGTATCCCGCTGCGTCAGACTAATACCTTGATAGACGTTTATGGCGAGCCACAGAATGCGATTTAGGCCGATGTGAGGGCTTTGTCGAAAATAAAAACAGTTTACTGCTTCGCTAATAGTTACGGCTTCACTTGCATTATCTCCTAACCGTTGTGTATTTTATCTCAAAGGCTATAAATTACGCTCAGAGCTTTTTATTTCGTGTTTAATGACGCCATTTGCATGTCCCACAATTTCACACATATCTAATACACAGGTACTCTGTAAATATTTATCAAGCTTTTCTAAGACATTGTTGTGTGTATACTTGGCGCGTTTGGAAGACGGAGTAATAAAAATGTCAGGCGGTTCCAAAATATCCCTACCCCTGTACGGCAAAATCCTGTACAATGATCGATTCGATCGTTCGAAATTTCGCACATCGCCTACAATTACTCAAAACCATTCTCAGAGTATCAACTTTTAGGCCGGCCAATGGGAAGTGAGTGATACCGGCGGCTCGTTAACACCCCGGGTGGACTTCGGGTGATTAATGTGTTTATTACTCCGTCTTCCAAACGCGTCAAGTATAGGTATTCCGATGTTTCACTTTGAGGTAGGCACTCGACGCGCGTCAGCGTTGAATTAAAAGAAATGTAATATGGAATAATAGACTAAATGGGATTGTAAATAGAATCTCGTTTGAGTACATATTGAACAATGCGAATTCATTATTTGTATTCATTTAGATGGAAATGAAACTATTAAACAATTAAAAAAATATAAGTGTGCATGAGTAATAATCATAGAGAAAGAAAGATGAGAGAGTTCGATCCTTTACTAAAAATTGGCATAACGTTGACGGTGCTGCCTCTCATCGGATAGCAACATTTTTCGCGAACTAAGCGTAGATTCCTTCAACAAAAATTGGCGGAAAATTTAAAATTAATTTTTGTAATTCTACTCTATTTTCTTACATTTTGACAATTGTGTAGTCATTTAATAGCCGTTTCTCAAGCATGAAAAACGGCTATCAAATGCATACACAATTAACAAATTGAAATATTTAAAATACAATTAAAAAATAATATTAAAAGTGTTTCATGTAAAATTTTATTAAAAATTATGCACAATACAATACACTAAATACACTAAATTTAAATAAAATTGTTTTAGTAAAATTGTGGCTATTAAAAAATCTAATTGTACAAGACAGTTGGTCGGATCTTCAGCTTCTTATATTGCATGTAATCTGAAACAAATAAAAATATCAGCAGCATCGAATTTAGGGAAAATAGCGAAGAGTGAGAAATGTGTTTCGGGTGCTAAAGGAAAAGCAAATTTATTTAGACGTGATTTCAAAGTGCCAGTGAAACTATTATCATGAAAATGTACTTCACAAAGTCTCAGCTGTTTGGATGTATGGGACAAACCTAATATATCGAACCACCTTTTTTTCCGCACAATATCGGAAGGAAATTTAAAAAAATGCTTTTGAAGATTTTTATCCGAAGAAGTAAAAAAACAAGCTATTTCACCTTGGTGATGCACATTTATGAACCTTTCTTCGCATTGGGGTTAACATTTTAAATAAGCAAACACAATTAGAAATAAAAAATATAAAAACTCACCAACTTAGGTTATACACAATAATGGCGTCTACACTAGTTACGAGTCACGAAACATTCTAAAAAATACAACTCGACTCGACTGTCGACAAGAACCGCACAGAACGGTAAGTTCCAATCCGTCCAATCTTTATGACCAATAAAAAAAATTTAAATATGTTTCATTTTTCGATAGCAGCGCCTCTCGAAGGATAGTAGGGAATTATCATACGTGGTCTGATATTTCCTATGCTTTAAACTTTAAACAGTCTCTTTTATTTTGTCTATGGTAATAATTATAAGTAGGTATCGGCAAGTGAGGTATTTGAAATAAGAAAAAGAACAAATGTTATACATATAGGTGGTGTAAATAAAATAACTTACAGTTAATAATGTAATAGTAGGCAGGCATTTAAAAAAATTAGCATACAAATGATTTTATGCCAAGAAGGGTAATGGACTGTTGCATGTTCTCTAGTAACTATTGTAAGTTAATTTTTTTCTCTTTAAGCCACTCCATTAGATTTATTTTATTGTTCTAGGTACAGTATTTCATTTCATGCTTTTATACATATATTGTAATAAAATGCAATGTGTATCATAAATATATCTACACACCTTATTAATTCAACTAAGTTCTCTATACCATTAATTTTTATAAATAAGTCTCATGCAATAAATTTTAGGTAAAAATTTTAATTAGTATAAATACTAAATAGTATATTAAACGAATCAATTCGTATAACAAGCCTTCCCTCGGATGTATAACTGATTGCTAAAAAATGTATTAGCGAATAAATTCAAATACTTTTTACAAATGAATGCTTGTGGTAACATTAGACCTTTAATAAGTAATAATTCATGTGACAATGGATTAAATATGATTGACACAACAAAAGACGTTATTTCATTGTTAACACAACAAACTTGTCGTCGTCGTAAGATAATAATCTAATAACACCTCTAAACGAAAAAAATATCGCTTACAATAAAAGGTAAAATTAGCAATAATATGATGAATGTACTAATTGGATTCTTATTTAGTTATTGTATGTAGACTGTATTCTGAACTTATTATATGTATTTTATTCCCAGCAGAGAATATTTTTTAAGGAAAAGAATATGTTTATTGAAATATGATGTTCTATATATTTTTAAATATATAATAATTATTTAAAATCCTAAGTACACATCATTGTTATACATAAGTACTAAATTTATAATTGAGTTATTTATCCAATACTAATGACGCTAAACAAAATGTTTTTGTAAATTTTTATTTGCCTAATATTTTCACTATAGATACACATTATTTAGTGTATTCAATATTATATTGGCCTAAATGTGTCTCCATTATTCGTTAAAGCGGTATTGAAAAATGTTATAATATGTCCATTAATTTAAGAAAGTATAGCAGCTTCTATTTCCTAAAAATGACTTAGCGTAAAAGATTATGTAGGTATAGCTAGGTATTATACTATTGATATTTTATTACTGCCAATCCTAATAGATATAATTTATATTTTCACTTAGATTCTATCAGTTGTTATGATGTAATAAGTATAGATAATATTATAATACACATTTAGTTAGAGTCGGGAAAAAATCGCTGAAATATTTAAATTTATATATGAACAATTCTCCAGAGCAACGATTTTTTAATGTAAATTCCAGTTCATCAAGATTAAAACGTACAAATGCTTTAATGTATTTGGTACCACATATATAGATATACATGATACGATCAGAGATATCTGTCCAAATAAAACGATTTTGTAACGCATTCCCGGTCATCTAAAAAATGTGTGAAATATTTAAGCTTTAAATAAATAATTGCCGTTTCCTTTAACCATTTTCTTTTAAAGTATAAGTATTTTATATGCCTATATAAGCAGCTGCTTATTTTGCTGTTGGTATACATATGAGGGTTACTAAAAATGAAAATAATTTTATTTGATATATACTTTGCAGTGATACAAATACGTAAATAAACTGCTCCACAAAAGTTAAGGAAGTTCGCAAATTTTGCGATTATTTTAAAAATTACAGACTTTTTGATCACCAACTTTTCAAATATGTGAAATTAAATGTTTTCTCTCATATCTAAGTGGATTTTTTGCCCCTATACATCTACAATTCATACTAAATTTGGCGAACAAAAATCCCGCAACTTTTAAATTATTCTCAATATTTGTGAACTTTCTTAACTTTTGTGGAGCAGTATATTTAAATTATGGCAGTTTGTATAATAATTAAAAAATATAGCCTATTGGTCATCGCATAAATCCGCACCCTAAAATTTAATACACTTATTTTTTAACACCAACGTGTATAGATATATAGAGCAACCACCAAATAGGTACAAATTTATTCACATCATTTCTTATTATTACTAATGCAAATCCTTTCGTACTTACACGAACATAATGGCAGTTCGACAACAAAAAATTTTCAGTATGCGTATAATAAAAACGCAATAATCCAACAGAACGACCTCAGAGGGTGAATTATTAATATTGGCATAGACAAGAATATTTAATAATTACCCTATAATGTCTATTGTGATGGTAATTCAACGACAATGGCGAAATCGCATAATGGTAATAGCACAGCCACGCTCCTGCTTCTTTTACACATTGATGTGATGCATATGGCGGACGGCGTGTATACACTTTTAAGAGCCCTTTGCACACCACTTTAGTGACAGTTTTATTAATTCTCATAAGGAACGATCCCCACTAAAACTGACAATAAATTTGAATCAATAATAAAATCTAACAAGTATAAGTGGTTATGTTATTATGAAATTATCTATTATTATAACTAAGCTGTTTTCTTTAAAGTGGGTAAAATTAAAAAATATGTATATGTATCGAATAAATTATCTATAGTCATCATTTATAATCAGCCAATTAACGAATACTGTGCATGGATAAACCATCGCATACTCTTTACTATGGAACGAAATTTCGGACCGGCCCCACACCAATTCGAGGTAAAGAAGATCCCCGAGCTCGTTTCTCCCATAGTTTTTCTTCACTAAAAAATGTAAAAAAACTACGTGCCGCACAATTCGAGTAACACCTGTACAAAGGAATAAGAGACAAAAAATCAGCATAACAATAGACGGGCGGAGCGTAATCTGTTTTTCAAGCATAACACGATGAGATAATGCTCGACGCCACTCCTTCCTTTCCGATTGGTCGGCAATACCATTCCTCGACGGCGCTTGCCCAGTGTAATCTTACCTTTACTCACTTGCAGAGCTGCATAGAGTGCCGCGACTTGTGAAGGAAATACACGTAGACGACTTGTGAATGGAACAGAACAGTTCAACTGAAAGACAATTGTGCTGGTGTTTTTGTTGTGATCGGTATTATTTTTGTGATTGAAAGACTCTAACGGCTACAAAATTGATCTGGATCTCCAGAGGCAGGCCAGTAATGGCCATTTTATGAGGTATGTACCGTCCAATTGTAAATAAATCGTAAATCCTCATCCTCCTCTCTAGCACAGAATGCTAATTAGCACGTTTTGTTTGATGTTTTATTGACTTGTCATGTGGCGTGGTTTACTTCATTTTTATGCAAATACAAAACTGAAATGGTCAATACCGTTTATTAATATCAATATGGAATGAATGTATTAAGCGTAATTTATTCCCATTGTATGCGTGTCGTGTATAAAATTTTGAATTAGATTACAAGCAGATATGTATGTATAAAAGAAATGGAATATTTTTTATTATATTCTATTTATGATTTTGATATTAAATCTTACAGATTTAAAAACACTCCTACTTGTTATAAATATTTAAAAAAATTACCTTCTGAAAATAAATGAAAATCTCTCAAGGGATAATTGACGCTTATTGTTTATAAAGATTTAAATTTGTTATAATTTAAATGAAATCATTTTGAGCCCTTTACCTGACAAATAATAAAATTAATTGACTGAACTTCCTCCAGTCCAAAAACGTTTCAAATGATGATGCACCTCATAGAAGTAAAAACCTGAATCACCCTGTATATACCTATATATAAAAAATAACAAACCTCCAAAAACATTTACGAAAATTTTTAGTTATAGCTAATTACTGGCTAAAAACAAGTCCATAAGATTTATCGCTAAATAATAAATTTTGCACAAACAACCGTTTGCGTCAAAATACTAGAAAATTAACTTCGGGGACGTAACGCGGATATTCCGGTCAGCTTAGCGACGCGCCGACGGGTCAACGGGAGAATTTGTAAAGGCCGAACGAGGGATAAACAACCCCCGCAGGACGGCCCGAATATAATCAACTTCACTCCGTCGCAGGACTTGTTTGGATATTTTGAAAGCATCGCTATGCCGGAGTTATGTAGGATTGTCTCTTGGATTTGGTTATTAGGTTGCTTACGATGGGACCTGTTGATTATTATTTCATTGCACCCGTAACTTATAGTGTCACTTGTATATTGATTATTTATTATTTAGGCGCAATTTAGGACTTTTTTGTACTCCTTCAGTGTGCGAAAATAAAAATGAATTAAGATATTCATAAATATTCTAATGCACGACTTACATGGACCATGTGGTTATCTACATACTTAGCATAGATAATTACAGTTTCTTTTGAAATGATATACCTTACATATTTACTCGGGTCCATTTTTTCTTCGTGTGAATACCAATTACCTATTTTGATAGGAAACCATTGAAATTGTGTACTGTTCGTATACATCGATTTGTCATGGTAAAAGTTCTTTGTTCTTAGTCCTAGTTTGTACAACTGGCTTTCTAATTGTAACTTATTTACTAAGAACAATTAAGCAGTAAAGTTTTGCCGTTCTGTTCGTGGTTGATTAAACATGCCTATGACCATACGCTATACATATGTATAAAAGTAACTGTCCCGGAATAGATCTACATAAATAATTAATTATCAAACGTTACTTTTCCTATAGGCGAGACAACAATAAACACTAATAATATTGTTTATGGCAATATTTAAATGGAAATTAGAGTTGCTTGGTCCTGATCGGACAGACTGATAATAAATTTTATTTCAAATAACTTAGTAAGTAGAATTTCCATTTATGAACGCTCCGCATACGAAGAAATAAATAACTTACTCAAACAAATAACGATAACTACTTATACGAAAGTTTCAATGCTATATAAAATACGCTTTTCTATAGAATAGACATTGTTGTCTCTGTGGTTGTGGTTTTTATTCAAATTTACTATACCAGAAATTTAAACGCTTATACTTCCCTAAACAAAAACTTATTACGATAACTAATTACGATTGTGGTTTCATCGTGAAAAGTATTTTCCACTTCACTTCTACTAAGACGTCATTTCTTGAAAATTTTTCAGATCGGTCGGTCAAATGTGCGAAGGCGGATTCAGTGCCGCGGAGGGACTTTCGAGGATGGCATCCTTAGGTGGAGCATCCCTGGGAGTCCCTCAGTCTCTTCAATCCAGCCAGGCCATTAAGAAGCAGGAGGACCACATAAAGCGGCCCATGAACGCGTTCATGGTGTGGTCGCGGCTGCAAAGGCGAAAAATCGCCCAAGATAATCCAAAGATGCACAATTCCGAAATATCCAAGAGATTAGGTGAGTCGCAATTTCTATTATAATAGGTGTAATAATAAGAATGAAATTACCTTTAAAACGAGGTGTCCCTTTCCATAAGAAAAAGATTCAAAATGGCGACTAACTGTCATTTTGAAAGTTTCAACTGTCATTTTTACGTCAAAAAATAGTATTTTTACTCCAATATAAACACCCCAAATTTCGCGGCAAACGCTCTTACCATTCAAAAGTTAAAGGGGGGGCGACGGACTTTTGGTCCTCACTGTATACAATTATTTACTCTAATATAATTTATAGTTTATATAAATCTCTATAAAAAATAATGAGGGGATTTAAGGTAAAATAGATTTTTAGAAATAATGATTTGGGAAGAACCTAAATTGATTAACATCTGGCAGTAAAAATAATTTTCCTAATTCATTATACAAATTGTAAAATGCTTGATGAAGCTTTCCGTTGAAGGTAGGTATCTGAAAAATCTAGCGTATAGCGTCTATCACCTGCCTGTCTCGACTAGTGAATACACGTAAATGCCTTTAGTAGGTCGTAATGATAAAATTATCGTCGACCCTCTAATTAACTTGGGCACCCTATGTTTGAAAAATGAAGTTTTTAAACATATTTGTCAGTCAAACAGTAGACAACATCTAAAATATTTGTTTATACAAGGGCGCCATCGACTGTTTGCTCTAGCTACTGGGAATAACTACTGCCTTACGTGCACCTATTCGGTTTTTGTTTAGATCGCCCGTAATTCACGTCTGTTGTTAGTATCAATGAGTTAATTAGTAACACAAATATTCAAGTATCCCCCTTTCAAATAATTTGGAACAAGATATTATAATTTCTGAATCAATAGGCCGTATTTATAAAAAGAATCACAACCTTTTGCTACAAAAAATGAAGAAATTGCTTCAAGGTATATGCGTAAAAAGAAGAGAAGGAAGAGAGGTTTCGCTTCGAGGACGCCGCTGTTGCTTTAAAGCAAAAGATTTTATGGTTTTAAAATTTTTGCATATGTATATAAGGTTTTAGAACCTTTTTCTCTTATTTTTTGTCACTAGCTTTTACAGTCGATGCTTCATTTTTATAAATATGGACTATTATTCCAGGTAAATTACCTCAAGCATGGAAATATGACAGTAGTGCAAACTTATTATTGATTTGTTGTATTAGATATTATTCCATATTTATAAAAATGAAGCAATTACTTTGAAGTAAAAGGTAGAAGAAAAAGATAAGAGAAAAAGGTTTAAAACTTTAAACAAAGATTTTAAAATCAAAAAACCTTTTGCTTTAAAGCAACAGCAGTGTCCTCGAAGCAAAATTTCTCTTCCTTCATTTCTTTTTAAGCATATACCTTGAAGCATTTCCTTCATTTTTCTTAAGACAAGGCTTCCCAATTAATCTGGAGTATGATGGATTTAACATCTGGATGCACAGGGTGGTATTTGTTTATAGTACATATCAACTGTCCAACGATTTCTTTGATAGCATTTCACAGTTTTTAGGAAACTGAATTTTTGTCTATTTCTATACAAAAACTGCATCACTCATGAGTTTTGAATTGAATTGATTTTAGAAACACTACATTAGCATTATTGATTTAGCTTTTTACACCGCTTTTTTCGGCTATTGAGAATGTATAGGTAGGTGTATTATAGAAATAGTGAGGTTGTTAAAAGGAATTTTTGTACAAAATCATTCTCTATTGTTATTTTGTATTTTTCGAATTTTTTGTCTATTTAAACTGCTCTCGTAGAGAAAACGTTAACGCCCAGTTGCTAAACATTGCACTTGGATCTTGCCTACTGTTTACCAATGCACACATATCTGTGAATAATCTGACTCATCAAACAATTAAAGTCCCATAACAGATGTTGTTTTAACAACGACATTGTTATCTATCTCATTCGTACCTATCCAAACATTGGTGAGCCATCTAATGTTATTTCAATATTTTCAGTTGCATTAAAAAATTCAAAAAAACTCGCCAGAAAAGCTGGGCGAGGTGCGTAAGAAAACACTCGAGAATCCACGTAGCCGTGAAACAGCAGCTGTGGACTGTCACTTGTCGATCAGGGCCTTCGTAGATGATCTAAATATGATATGAATAATGCATGGGACTCCCCACTTACACAAACACAGTAACACAATGTGTTATGATATGCCTTTATATTGCCATTTAGGGTGGAAAACCCATTTAAAATTTGACGTTTACAGGATACATAATATGCATTCATATGCTAAGTTTGGTTTTTGTAATGCCTCGAAATCTATATAGCAAGTTCATATGAAAGCTTCATTCGTTTGGGGCTTATATCAGCTTTTGTATTTCTTCTTCCTAACTAAATATTTACTTTCGGACCATCCTTTTTATTACTAATTCTTTTCATTCGAACTACATTAATTTATATACACAATGGTCGCTGTGATATACTCTTCAAATACCTCCTATTAATGTTAATACTTTTCACTTATTCAGTACATATGCCAATCAATAAAATTTTCTAATTGTTTTCCTTATTTATTTCCGTCTTTTCAAATTTACCTACGCCTCTATATTATTATTGGCTTCGTCCATATTACAGATAATATCCTCTCCATGATCCTTTAGCACCTCATTTCAGATGGTTGTAGATCTACAATCTGGTTTCTAAAGGTTTACCAGAAATACGGCGATATTTCCGCACGACCGAGCGATATTAAACGTCGACCATTTCGAATTCCAGCGGGACCATTCATCGAATTACTGTCACCTTTTCTGTCTATCGCCAAAAGTACACCTGGTACATCCAATCCGCAACAAAAGGTCATCTAAATCCCATTGTCGCCTACTAAAGAAAAGAAGTTTGCGTCCAGCATCTCGTCGACAAAAGACGGGAAAGACGAATTTCGGTCGAGCACACGCTTCAGCAGCAACAGCAATAGCGAAACAGTGCCACTCGTGAGGGGAATTCGATGGGAATTGGTCTATTTTTAATTACTTACAGAAGTCAGAAAAAGTCTAAGTGTTTGAAATAAGAAATTCAAGATGAGGGTGTAAATTGGCAAGAAAATAATAGAAGCAATCATGTATGTCTTTGTAGAAATACCTACAAAGACAAGTTAAAGAGAAAAAAGATCCTTATTGAGTCGTGATTCAATGTTTTTAAATTCTTTTACACTTATGATCAAATTGCATCTTTGGAGATGCATATAGAATTTTATAAATGAGCCGGATAGAATACAAGTTGACTTATTAAGGAATAAAGGCCAATTAAAGGACGACGCTGAACGAAAGGCGGTTCAGTTATATTTTCCTATAGATTTGCACAGTTCAAACTGGCCTTTTATGTGAAACAAACAGTTCGGATGAGACAAAGCTCCGCAAGCGATGTCTCTTTAGTTGGCATTGTTCGACGTCATTGTTCGCAGAATGGATACTTCAAGTTACATCATTTCTAAGAGATTGTCTCCGATTGCTTTATCTCGGGTTCGGAGCCGCAATCAGCGCCATGCGGACTTTTTATTCTATCGGCGATTCTAATCGATGTTTTTTTTATGTCCTCTATATCTGTTTTTGTGGAATTTTTACGTCAGAACTATGCAAAGAGCTGGAGAATAGCTGATTTCGAAGCGACTACACAACACAATTATTACAAATACTCAGATGATTATACTAACAATAATTTTTAGTATTCAGATACATACAAAGATAATTATTGTAAGTGTAGTAAAAATTTTATTCGACGGGCGCCGGGATTCTTTTTATTCGGAGACAATTTTCAAAACGTTGGAAATTATAAAGGAGGAAAAAGCCGGGCGACGAATCCTCTCATTTGGGACAAAAGCGAAACATTTGAATACCTTCATTATAGCGGATGGCATGCACCTGTTTTACCATTGGATAAAACAATAGAACGACCGATTGGTCCCGTCCAATGGGGACGCTGTATTACATTACACCCGTTTTTGTCCCGTGTTTTGTCATTTTGTGTCTAGAACTTTGTGAAGCGCTACTATGGAGCCCTTTGTGCCCGTCTTCTGGAGCGAGATAAGAATTAATTACAAGCCATGATGGTCTTTTGTTTCCTTTCTCATTTTCGCTCAAAAGATAATTTAATGCTTTTTCCTTTCTCTAGATGGGATTTTTTTTGTTTCACTACGTGCCGTATTGTTTCTGAATATCGGCCGGCGGTTCGATAAAAGTTCGACTTTGACACACAGTTGCCCTTTTATTTTTCCAATATTGCTTTTGTAATTTTACCTCTGCTCGATATTTTATTGATTAATTAATTTTAGATCAATCTTCACATTTGCATGTTTAAATAATACAGTAGAATTCTCTTCTTGGTGGGTATAAGTTTTATACATATAATACATCATCCCTTTAATACAAGTTTCCCGACGATTGAGCATCGTCGAAAGAAGCATTCATTCTGCGCGTCTTTTATTTATTTTCTACAATATAAAGTTAGATATTGTAATAGTAGATTATGCGGCATTTTTCCTTTCAGGCGCTGAATGGAAACTGCTCACTGAAGACGAAAAGAGGCCGTTCATTGACGAGGCGAAGAGACTGCGAGCGTTACATATGAAAGAGCATCCGGATTATAAGTATAGGCCGCGACGAAAACCGAAAACTCTCCGAAAAGAGGGTTATCCCTATTCGATACCTTATCCCTCGGTGCCGATGGACGCCCTAAGAGCAGGTTAGTTTCACGAATTTGGGTCAGCGTAAATGTAAATAATGATCGAAAATATTGCTACTTTTATCAAACAAAACGCTGCAGAGTTATGCTAACCGAAAATCGACTTTACCATCACCCTTTTTGTAACTTTTATTTAAATTTTTCAATAACGCGATTTTAATAAATGCATTTCAAATCAATCAGGAGGTAAAAATACCTACCATTATACTCAGTCTATACAGTGCAAAATTAATAGATATCAAAACGACATTTTCACATCGCATGACAAAATTTGAAACAGTTCTCGGTTTCATTCAGCATTTGAAACATGGCAAAAAAGCGGAAATTAAAATCCATGGAGCTATTATATTTTATGAAATAAATTTTAGTCGACACTGAATTTTTGAATAAACCTGATTACAATAAAATTAAAATATACGCGCAGGACAACAGTCTGTGAATAATCGAATATTTTCAATATGAAATAGAGGAATGTAGCGAATAACAAAAATGGCCAGGTTAAAATTTTCAACATTCGGTTTTAATTAAAATATTCAATGGTGATAGAACTGGCTTGCCGGAATTTCATTTCATTTAGGTTTTCACGAACGCATATGCGAATTCGAATTGTATTATCCCAATCTTTTCCTCATTATTAACCCGAAAATGGTAACCAATTTACAATTGTTCTCCTTTGAAATATCAGCCGTGTTGGTTGTTAATTTTACGTACAGGAATTTTATACAAATGTACAGAAAGCTGTTTCATATAGAAACGAATAAAACCAATTCTTTACCTGCATTAGGTATTATTATGCCAATGCTAGAAACTGCCGTAACAATATTGATCCTGTCTTTCACAATGGGCCTCATATTCCAGCCATTGTATGAATTTTACTTTAAACAGTGAATTCAATAGCTGTCAATTTGACGCACCTGGCTTTTATGAATTCTTATGTTCATAATGCCGGGTTCTTTGTATGCTTGCAAACATTATGACAAAACAAACCTTGCAAAGAAAAAGCCAATAATGACGTTATACAATTAACAGTTTGATTAATTATTAGTATCGTAGGGGTATTATTTTCTGAGTAATTAAAGCATTTATATTTAAGTAGGCAGATACGAAAGTGTTGGAACAAATAAATTTATTTTTGCCATTTTTTTAAATATAAAACTATTTTGACAAGTATTAATTATGAGCTTCAAATTTTAAAAGTTGCCTTAAGTTGCACATTAAAATAATTTTACTGATGGAAAAATATAAACGATGTTTCCTTCTTCTAATGACCTTTACATCTAACCAATTCAATTATTTTTAAAATGTAGGCAATAGACAAGAAAAAAATAACTATACAGAGTAATCTGAGTAATACATCATAATTGACTCGTGCTAGTTTCAATTTGATCAGTTGCGCAAACGAAAAATAGTTTTAATAATACCTAATTCTCCCACAATTTTATAACCTTCCTTAAGCGAGCACAATGCTATGCGGCTGAAATAAAACATTACAGCTAATTACTTGTTAAAAGCAAACGAACATTCATGATTAATGATTACGGTAGGCAAATAATACCACGAGCACCATTCCGTAGGTAAATGCTAAAGGAATAATTGTTGATGACTTTTCGAAATTATAATGATGGCCAACACGTTTTGTTACTATACGGGATATTAGAATTCTGTTCGAATTCTGCATTGTCATGATTTTTATGAAATCATGAAGATTACTGCATTTATTCATCCTGCATATGTCTGTTGAGCAAAAATAGATGCGTTCATATAATTTGCACCTTAAATATAAACATTATAATTAAGTCCTATTGACAGGCATATTATAGAATATAAAATATAGAAAATAGAGAGATGTTGTTCATTATAATATGCGATTTTTGGCGAATTTAGAAAGTACATGTTTGTTAATTGTGGATACATAAATCTGTCACCAACATAATTAATTTACTCTTAAATCACCATAATTTATTAAACTCCAATAAAGAACATAAAATAAACGCTAAAAATTATCATTCAATTATCAAATGATCATTAGTATAAAATTTAAATATCATGAAGAGTTCAATGATGTACGATTCCACTTCAAAACTTTCCTATAAAACGGATAATTATGTTAATTAATTGTCAAACAATTGTTCATTCGCAGTACAGGTGGTGATGTCATATTCATGAGATTTGGAAGCGCCGAATTACCAATCCATTTGTCCGCCAAATTTAATCCTGGTCGTGTACGCAAAAATTCATTCATATATTTGCATTCAATAAATTAAACATTAAAATAATTAAATTCCATATTGACTCTCTACTCAGATAATGTTTTTTTTATAGTGAGTAAAGTAATTATGCATTAAAGACTTTATGTACCAACTTCATTATTCACATAATAATATAGGTCCAAAATTTACCAAATCGTCCCGGCTAATAATCCGGCCCGTGCATATAAACAATCATAAATTACAGAAACAAAAAAGTTGCCCACATAATTCCTAGTAAACGTTATTTCAGACAAAGTGGTACTATTTTTTATTCTGCCACATTCTTATATCTTGTTTATCCGTCTAAAAATTAAGATTAATGTTCGCGGCAATTTTTCATAAGTCAGGTTCAAATGCGCCTCGAAACGAATGTATGCAGGATATTTAAATAACAATGATATTTTCGATTGAGGTGTGTTAAAATGATTGACTTATTAGAGGTTTTAATTGTCAATGAAATAGTTCTAAAAAATAAACGAGTTATATCCTTCTATTTAGATAAATTATTCCTATAAACTTTATACGTGTAAAGGTGAATGATTTTTTTACTATCAGTATAACTGAGTGTATTAATGTTAGATATATTAATAAATAATGTTGTATAAATATAAAATAAACTACCTAACACATCATTTAACAAAAAAGTATTTAATATTCAAGAATAAATTATAGTAATTCCATTCATAAACGAATTCGTCATAGTTTCGTATATTCAAAAATCAATCAATCGGGTTCTTTTCGGGCGAACTTCCTGCACTAATGCACTCCATCGTGACACAACGTCGAGGTTTTACATCTCATAAGTTGATACATTGACAGAAAACACTTAGCTTTAACCGTGATTCGATATCTTCTCGGTACCCCAGATCCGATCTTCGATCCGAAACGATCATAATCAATGTACCGCTTAAGAGGAACACTATCAAGTCTCCCTCACAGCTGGAAAGGTGTGAGGAATTTGGTATCTGGCACTATCTGACACTTAGTGGGGGGCCCGACCATCAGGGAATCTTCGTTTTCGAGGGTTGGATCAACTGCACGTGATAATATCACCTAATAAATCCAATTGAACATATCTAATTATTGGATAAATTTAACTAAGATTTTTACACAAACAGTAATATTAATAACTCATTTTATTCATGAGTTGTTAGTAAGAATTAACTGTTCCAATAGTATTTTGCGAATCTGTAATTTAATAAAAATCAGTGCAGTTTGTCCATACCGAGAGTAACTCGTGTCCGTCTAGCCCTTCTCTTTGCTGCTTTGCCGAATTAAATTTGCTTTGACAGTGTACGGTGTGAAGAGGTTTTATGAGGCATATAACTTGCGCTTATTTAATAAATGCACTTGAATTATTGGTTACCGGCCCCGACTGACTTTAATAATTTTGAACATGCTTTGCCCTAACAAGTTTTTTTTATTTATTTATTGCGGAATTGTTTATTATCTTGAAATATCAAGCAAATTGTGTATTTTTTAAATATTTGTGTTAATTAATTAATATAGTGAAGGTTTATAAGAAAACTAAATATCATGCATAATTCTAAAAAATAATTGGCCTGCTTTATTAACGAAATAATGAACACTGTCTGTTTTTATTAATTATTTCTGTTGCGAAAATGTGGATTGTAAATGGCAATAATCCCATAAGAAAAATGAGGTTCCCCTTGCAAACCGATTCTTAATTTACGACCGATCGAAATAATAACAAATATTTGGTTATTTTTTTGAAATGACAAGTATACAGAGAGCCTATAAGCACGAAATATAAACGTCGACCGATCCGAATAACGACTTAGTACTCCATATGAAAACATTAAAACATTAAAATTCAAATCCTTACAAATGGCCGCTCCTAAATCACACGAGTAACGCAATCAGTAACGATGTTAAATCGACGCTAAAAAGAAAAACGAATAAGAAAAGAAGAAATTCGCTTGGACGTAGCGCGTGATTCATGGAATATATTTATTCGGACTTGCTGGATTTCCCATTATTCAGATATTTATAGAGGCTCGGACATTGAAACATTTATCAATAGCCGTAATTTCTTCTAAATTACAGGTTATTTAAAATTTTATTATTAACGTTTTTAATCTAAAAAATTAACCTGACGAGACCAACTATTAACTAATCAACATAATTAATATCTTAGGAAGGTGATTTGAATATCTCGACCGAGGTTTAACGTCTGAATAATTTTTATACCAACAAAAGTGTTGAATCCAAATCGTATTCCAAACATTAAGAAAACCATAAAACGAACTCCTGTCGTGCACTTAACGCACGCATTCCGAATTCCCGGCTTGATGATTATGTCATAAACAAATTCGATGACAATTTAATTATGTATCGCATAATGCTTGTGTAATTTTTGTTCAAATAGTCAGGTTTGTTTGACGAGTTTTCTCGAGTGCAATTTTTGCAATCGCGTTATATTTACACTATTAATCATTTCAACCTGCAAAGCCTCAATCAATAACCAGCAGAAATTTTTGAAATAAAAAACGAGAAAACTCCCGGAATAGGTATCATTGAAACGAATCCTTCTGGTCGCAAGAATAGAGTCATCATTTTTAACCCGCTAGTAATCGCACATTTTAAATGGGAAATTATACATACACATCTGTCACTTACAAGTATTTCTGTCTTCACCGCGGCGGTCTGAGGCGTTATAAATCACCGGGTATGCTCCAATCTATCCTGTCAAATCTCCGGTTTAAATGAGCTTTGATTGACGGTTAAATGCGCCGTCTCATAGTTCGATGTGTGCATACGTGCCCGACTCCGTCGTGTCGTAAAAATTGGAGGAGGAGATGCTGGTATTTCGTTTCGAAGGCTATAAAGTCAACTTTCTTTTGATAGTATTAATAGGTACTTGCATACTGGAGAGAACGTATTTGAATCAAGGTTGCCCGTTTGTAGGCAAAAAGCCTCTAATTTATCCCACTCTAACTTTATCTTGTACTAACTACCTCTTTAATATTAATGCATATCGTAGTAAATTTTTATAATTTAAAAATTGATACTGTATGTATAATGAAGGTAAAAAATTCCTAACTATAAAGAGTTTTTCGAAGATATCTCGTCCTGGAACAAATTACCGAATAATATATTGGTTTTTCCTGGCGTGCTATGACCATACTTGTCATTCCCGTTTATTAAAGTTGTTATTTAACGAACATCTTTGCCTAAATTTCTCGCGGTATTACATAAATTTATTACCGTATTTTATGGATATGCAAAACAGCCAGGACGAATACGTAAACAGAAGTTGAATTAATAATTGCTTCTGCTCTTTTCTTTCCATATGAATAAATTAATGCCTGTGACCGGTTTAGTTGCCTGTCGTTGGCTTTGTAAGGATGAAAAAGTAAAGCTAAAAATATTTAATCACCGTTACCGAAGATTATTTTGTTGTACTTATAATAGGTACAAAATGAAATTTCATTTTGGGCGTATACAACAAATTAATAGATTCCTATTAGATAATAGTTAATTAATTCCCGAAACGTTTTTGATGGAACGCTTGGTGTAGATACCCATACTATATTGAATTGCCATTCGTAATATTTATACGAATGAACTGCGAGATCTCGTCAAAACAATATTTTAACTTTGAAAATGACGTCGCGTGTTAGTACCTGGTCCAATAAATTAGGTGGGCTCACGCACGAGGAATCCAACTCGGACAATCAATATTACTTGCTGTTTTATATTGTTAGGAGCGTTTCGTACGACTTGCCTGGATGTTTATGCTAATATACGACATGCTTTATAGCCAAAGTTACGAAAATTTTTGTTTTTATTCGTTTCCAACGAAATTACTGGGTTCAGATATGCCTACAATAACTTTTAGAAATCATACATCGTCGTGACGTATAAGAGATCAGAAAATATTAATTCTGAATTACTCGTATATTAGAAAATACACAAGTGTTATTTGGTTTAATGAATTTCTGGAAATTTGACAGCAAACTGCTCATTCTTCGCGATCAACTCATGCATATTTTCCAACCCGGCACTTTATGCAAATTCGTTATTTGTTCATCAGTTGTAAAACGCGCTCGTCAATAAAACTTCGTTTTAACAAAATCATCAACTGGAATGTTGATAAAGTAATATGATAATAGCATTAGCGCCAGTACGATAATTTTTTGTAGGTATTTCGACACCAATTAAAAGTTTGTGACTCCCACCTTTTGTACCGTAAAGTTTTAATTATAATCAATTTCCAGATGCTCATCTAAGGCGGACTCGGAAACGAACGTTTGACGTTAATAAAGTTATTGAACAACAATTATTTTTGTATTTTTTATCGAAAATGGTTACACGTGAATTATTAGTTTATTTTGTATCATAAAAGAGTATTATTAAACAGATTAAAAATGCTAATATATTACCAAGTGTTCGCGAGAAAGGATAGGCAAATAACAGACCATTGGATGCTTTTGTTTGCGAGAACAAAACCTTTTATTGTTAATAAAAATAGCTATAACTTTTTTTTCTAGTCGTAATTTAATATGTAACAATGGAAGCGATTTATTGGTGACATTCGTTTATTTTAATGATTTATGTGTGTTGAATTCGACATGACATTAAAAGAATATATGAATATTAATCATGCGTTTTAAAGAGTTTGTAAGAATTGTAAAGTGTACTTCAAATTCGGTAATCCCAGGTTTTAATGCTTTATTATTTGAATTGTTCTTATTTTGTTTTCTTAACTATACTTGCCGCGTTTGGAAGACGGAGTAATAAACACATTAATCAGCCGAAGTCCACCCGGGGTGTAAACGAGTCGCCGATATCACTCACTCCCCATTGGCCGGCCTAAAAGTTGATACTCTGTGAATGGTTTTGAGTAATTGTAGGCGATGTGCGAAATTTCTATCGATCGAATCGATCATTATACAGGATTTTGCCGTACAGGGGTAGGGATATTTTGGAACCGCCTGACATTTTTATTACTCCGTCTTCCAAACGCGGCAAGTATAGATGTATAACCACAATTATCAATCTACGATATTCTACTTTGTGTAGAATATATTTGCATAAGCACTTTAACCTGTCAAAATATGAATTAGGAACTATTTCAATAAGCAATTACAATTTTTTACGATCAATAAACAAATAAATATTGTAGGCAAAGTGGTTATCTGCAAATTTAACACTACTATATAGATTTTTGCATCCGCATCTATTTGAAGGATTTACAAAATTTATACATTATAAATAAGAATTCAATTGTATTTATATATTTTTTTCTTAGTCTCTTCTTATTTTCTAACTCTACATTTGATCAATTCTCTTTCAAATCATGTACCATACTATCACATGTACCTATACTATTTGTAAGTAATTAAAACTGCTAATATGAATTGCATGATTAATAAATGGGTTTCTCAATAAACATTTCAAGAATGTAAGTACTTACCTACTGTTTCATTCTGAAGGTGCGGTGGTATCGCACGATATAAATTGATGGTTTTATTTTTTTAGGTAAATGCTATAAAATTGATTAATGACTCTAATGCCGATAATGACGTAATGGTCGAGGAATATTATTTTTTATATTCTTTATAAATTACTATCTTGTCGGTTTAATTCTCATTATTTTTAACTTCAAATAAATACAAAGTTAATTAAAATAAGCAGAAAAAACCTTTAATAAATCGATTATAACAACTATTCAGATTTGTTTAAATTAACAGTACTTTTTTACTATAGGTGATTTTTTTTAAACAAAACAAACTAATTATCTAATTCATGCCAGATTTATCAAGTAGATAATAACATCAATCTATCATCATCCTTTTTATCGATTTTAATTGAATCCCATTTAATTTTAACAACATAATAATACCTGCATTCTGCATAAGACGCAATTCTTAGACCTAGTGTTATTTTTTTTGTCATTAACAAGTATTTTGTTAAAAAACACAATACAAAATACAATGGACAGCCTTTCGGACGCGTTCCAAGGTCATCCATTAATCGAAATGTTGCATAACACATTATGAAGTCAATTACGCTGAGTATCATCAAACTAGGCACAATCAATCAATTGTCTGTAATAATTAACACCTTCACTTTGGGATTAATTAATTTCATAACGAATAGATTTGTATAAATACTCGGAAAGTAATTAAGGTTGGTTTATTGTATTCGCTATTCAATGAATAGTTTTAACTAAAAGCTTTTTGTTGATGGTTTTTTGTATATTTAAGTGTTTTTTAGAAACTTATACGTTATTCATTAAGGTATTTAAAACTTTTCTACGTCAACAATCAATTTCTACTCATAATTTGTTCAATATGATTGAGTTTTTTTTTATTATTAATTGTAAAAAAATTCTTGTTGCAGGAATGGCAGCCAGCAGTATGAGCCAATCAATGGCTTCGTATTACAACCCATCCGCAGCTTACGGATCTTTGAGTGCAGCATCAATGGCAGCTGCAGCTGCTGCTGCACAACAATCCGCAGCTGCAATGTCAGCAGGCTTGACAGCACCAGCACAGGTAAATAATTTTTATTAAATGCTATAAGTGAATAAGAAGGCTTATTGTATTTATAAATATTGGAATTGGGTAAACCCACAGTAGGTTCTCTATTTTCAATAAAAAAACCGAGTAACAGTGTAAAGGATATAAATTATTTAAACACTACGCTTGTAGATAGGTAAAACTGAACTGAATTTGGGCATGAAAATGTCAAAAACTACTGTTTACAATCAGAAATTTTAATAATGTTTAAACCATTTATGGAAATGTACTCTAAAACATTTTCATGTGGTAACCACACGAATTAGTTTTGTTTGTTTTGAAGAACAATAGTCATCATAGGTGATTAGTGAAACAAGCAAAAATCAGGTTCGGATAATTATCACTGGCAAGGGAAGCAAACATGTGTTTTCTGTGGTTTCTAATTCAATTTTCACTTACACAGTAATTGGAGTCGAATGAAAAGGCAACAAATAAGTATATTGTTGGTTTGGTTGTCTTTATTTGCCATTCCAATTTAATGGCACCTAACGCCACGGAAAGAACTGGTATTTGTTTCGAAAAACGAGTAAAAGTTAGTTATGGTCATCTGAAATTAAATTTTCTATTTATTTTTTTGTATGGTGTTACAATAACGACACATATAACATTCGATATTCCTTATACGAGTAATTTTTAATTTTCTCCTCTTTATTGCTTCAAGTATCTATTCGTTTGCATTATTTGTATTTACATCTCTGTTTAGGTATTTCATTTCGCAACGCAAATATTATTATGTTAATGCCCTACTTATTCTTAAGGACTCCTCTTGAATATGACAACAGTTACCTATCCTCTGTGCAATCGTATAGAAGCTCACCTGGTCATTCCTCTCAGTAATTGCCATTTACTTGGACAAAAAGTGACTCGACATTATTTTTTTTAATTTCAGCCGGCATTTTCTCACGCTCTGTTAGTCACAGCAAATAGCAAAACGTACATGAAACTTAGGGGATTATCATCAATTTGTTATCCTTTTGTTCGGAAAGACATCGATTTTAAAGCTATTCACGTTAGGGAAACGGGTGAAAAGTGCAAATCAGTGAAGATATCGGTTTTTCCTTAATCGTCCTTTGAAATTTAAACGTTTTATAGAAGAGAGTTTTGTATTCCACACAATAATAAAACTTCAAGTCCGCTACAGCACTACATAATATATAACTGTCCAATTCCGCTATTAAATTTTTGTTTAGGTACATTTTCTTGTCATTTCGCGTATTGCTCTAGTATTTTCGAATCGAAATTTCGCACGTTAACGCAAAGATACGGCTGCGGTTGTCGTCCGACACCCATAAACCTTCTAGTTGATTGCCTACGATGACCAAAGAAAGTGATAAACCAGTTGATTTTACATTCGAACACCCTAGTGGATTCGCGTAGCTGGACGGCCGGCACCCAGCGCAAATTAATGCCCGTCTTGCAACAAAAAAAAGGAACTGTCCCATTCAGAAGCGGACCGCTAATCCTGATTTAGTAATCTTTGTCCGTGTTTATATCGCGAAGGACGCATAGGCGGAACCGCCAACAACAAGTTATTAGATAGGTGTTTTATATACAATACAATGTCGTTTCCTCAATGATCGTTAATTTTTCTGGTTGTTTTTAAAATTCCTTCTCTGGTCTTTTCAGGTGGTAAGCTCCATGGACGCGATGAAGTATTCGATGGAAGCGGATAAGTATCGTTCACCGTACATGCCGCCGTCCACGCTGGCGATGTCGATGTATTCGGATCCAAAGTATATGGATTCACCGTCGAAAAGTTACTTGGAACGAGGTTATCTGGACTCCACTTCGGCACTTACCAAAGCGTACTTTGAGTCGTCCAAGATGTACATGGACGCGAACATCGCCAACAAGTACAACCCTGAGAGCACCAGGAGTTATCCCCATCACGGTAATACATTAATCTTTCGAATGCACGAATTTTTAGAAATAGCAGGGTATTTTTGATTTATTGCAGCTGGCATTGATATTGGAAAAATGTACTCGGACCATCAACAGCAACACGGCCAGCAGATTCCTATGAGCTCGCCTAGATCATCCGACTCGCCCGATACGAAACCTATACAAGATAGGCTGGAGGGCAGTTCTTCATCCAGTTCAACGACAACGTCTTCGGCAGGAGCCTCTCCAGGTGCTTTGCCGGGGTATTATCCGAGCAGTGCGATGCAGCAGAGCAGCGCTGGCCTGCTGCCTATGGCTCAATACACAGGGCAGTATCCATCGCAAATACCCGGTAGTGAATTTAGAAAACCACTCACTGTAATATTTTGACCAGATAGAATGTGAATATGGTTTCTAGTGATATATGTAGGTGCATTTGTTTAATTAACGAAATCGTGCAGCGGTCTTAGTAGTGTTCGACATGGATTTAAATTTTGTTGATAAAGAAGTTTGCAAATATGCGAGAATTTATTTAGTTTCGTGGTAGGTAGTGTTATATTTTTAACATATTAGCGAATTTGGAGTTTGATCAACATTTATCCGTTCGTTGATTTTGTTTTCCTGATGCTTCAAGTTTAAAAAGATGTTCCTTTTATAATTTGGATTTTAAAAGATATATCTAAGCAATTGAAAGTAATCGGATTTTGCTCAAAATATCCCGAATTATAATTCTGTCGTTTAGTTTTACCGTACAAAGTGTTATATTTCTTTCGATTTTCCACATGACTCTTGCCATTTATCATTTTTTGTCAATTCCAAAATTATTTAAATTTACTTAGATTCAATCTTGCACTTACTAGAAAAATTCTTTTAACCAAAATTTGGCACTATATTTGCTATAGACTAGAGAAGCACTTATTTTCCATTCCTTAGTAAATTTTGTTTATTCTGAATTTTTGTACCTAAATCGTAGAAACATAAATATGTATTAGAAAATAATTTGTACAGTGCGAATTATTTCACAGAATTACAGAATTAGAAAAAAAAACTTATAAGGTGATTGATCAGAAAAAAGGAATCGAATTTTAATAAGTAATTTTGGTATGTTGAACAGATTATTTATACAGTTAAAGTAAGCAGAATAAGTAATTTTATTTATTTTATTTATAAGATAAAACTATCATTATAACTTAAAAGAGTTAATTCAGAACGAATAAAATGTCTTCTTAATTGTGATTTTATTAAAAGCTGAATAAAAATAGCAATATTCATATATCGAACATATTTATTTCTAGAAGGAATTGTAGAATCTAAATATGTTGTGGGTATATTCAAACAAGAAAGGTTTGTTCGTTTTGAGCGAAAATGATTTTTTCCTTGTATATGTAGTACATAGACTATATTAATTACGGATTACTTTTTTTTAAAGTGCTCATTTTCTGTTAACTGTTTGTGTCGTTTCTCAATGTTTTCCATTATTCAATATGAATGCGTCAATCACAAAAACATCGTTGAAAGTAGTCAAAGGATTATATTGTAAAAAACTGTAAATATAGGTATCCTTTCATTGACCTGTACAGATATATTATATGTTTATGTGCTTCTAGCTAAAATAGGTATTGTTTAAAATTATGGAAGAGCACAAAATAGCTTGTACGTAATTCGTTATTATTTTTTTGTTGTACAAATTTTATTCGACTATTTATATAATTATACATTCCTGTCATGTTTTTTGTTCCTATCTTTGAGGTATTAGTCATACTTACAAAGTACTTACGATGTATATCTTGTTATTAATCACTCAGTATATTAGAATAATTGCTGTAAAAGGTATGTTATGTAAAAATCGAAAAATAAAGTAAATAGAATAGTTTGTTTCAACTTAATTTTTTCTATAATCCTCCAAGTTCTTCACTTTCTCAACTTCGAACGTTATTAGTGCGTAAAATATTAGATATCGTAGCGAACAAAAAGGAAACTATCAACGACAAAACGATGTCCCGCAGCGATCAATAATTATCCGCGGCCTCCGTGGCTAATTCGGGGTTGTATTCGGCACCTCGCAAAGTGGCCTTTTACCACCTGGAGCTGCTGCCACTACTCCAGAGGCTACAATTATAGCAAACAATGGCCGGAGTGTAGAGTCACTGAGAAGCGGCAATTCTAGGATTCAATTCATTTCGAATTAAGCTCAGTGTGGCGCGCATTGTCCGGCCCTGTTACCGCTACCGATTTTTGATATGGATTCGATATCAGAATGAATTAATTCAATGGGAAACGTTGGCTGACGATTCCGTCGACGCTTTCCGAAAGGTGCTTTCAGAAAAGCTGTGTCACTCGGTTTTAATTTAAAATATAATTGTAACACAATTACAAAGACTATAGTGTTTGATGCATATAAGTTGCTGTAGTAATAAATAAAGAGTATGTAAGTGTTGCAAATTTTAAATATTTTAATTAACAACTTAGAATTAAATTATTGATTGCATCATAAACGTATTACGTGTAAAACAAATTCATCGAGCAGGTAATACAAAATCGAATATATCACACACACACGCTCTCGGCTCTTATTTATGTGCATAATTAGTAGCAACTTAATTACACGATTCAAAAGCCGACAGCTTTCACGCAATCAACGTTCCACTAAGGCGAACAATGAAAGAAAATTGTTTTTCAAAACTACCACAGTCCACGACAAAGGACTTATAATGCGGGACTTAAAACGTTGCGTTTGTAATTACAATTTCGATGGAGTTCTTCGACAATAGGCGATGTTTATTTTTGAATTACACAAAACTGACAGTTCCACGTCGATTACAAAAGGAATAAACTATTAAACGAACGATAAATCATGAACGATGACGGCGCGACGAATTGCCGCAAAATCGAAAAGTCTTTCTGGATGCGTTTTGAATTTATTATACAATTTCTAGGTGGGTTATAAGTTATAATATTATATTGTCGTGCCCGAAAAAAATCGATAGTATTATTACAATAGTTTTCTAACGATCAGAGACTACATATTTTATAAGTAAAAATTTTACAAATCTCTCAAAAAAAACACTAAATAAGCAGACTTTAATGATCCTTTAAATCGAATTAACTGCGAAAATAATCACATTAAAGTATCTCGAATTCCTCGGAGCGGTTTTGTATTTTCTTTTTCCCCGCAACGTAATTATACCACGAGACCCGCAGTTTAATGAATTAAAAAATAAAGTCGGAGTGTGGCGAAGAGCATAATAACATAATTGAAGAGCCTTCAAAATAATCTCGTCTTTCTTCTAACATCTCGCCTCGTTGAAATTATAATCACTACCTTGTTGGTGTATTGTTGAATGAAGACGTTTGTGAAACGCGGAACACAGGGGTGGTTTAAGGAACTCTAAATTTAATACAAATTAATTTTTTATATTAAACGGTATAATCGATCGAATCTTGATGGTGCAAAACAAACATTTCTTATACAAACTTATAGTAATGCAGTGGATCAAAGAAAACATCCTTTTGATTAACATTTTTCCGATAATCGATTAAAATCCTCCGCATCACCTTTCGTTCGAATAACGGCCTTTCATCAGTTCGACTTCATTACAAATGGACCTTTTATTCACCGGTCAATCTCGTTTGAAAGCGATCTGGATACAAGAAAATGGATTTGGTCTTTTCACGTTAGGGGATCCATTTACGTTTTGTTACAGTCCCGGAATAATCTCTGACGGACTGATGGTTTCTTCGTCTCTGCTCTTATGTCATTCGGGATAACATTGACGTACGAGTTAGTTCAATATTCAATGCACAATGAGAAATTTGTAGGTATTTGGTTCAGTAATTATTAAATTGTAAAGATTTTTCCAATTATGCACTTATACCCCGATATTCTATTTCCAATTATCTAGGTTTAATTTCCATTTAACCGCATTTCCACAAATTAAATCATTAAATTAATCGTTTAATTTGATGATGAAGCATCGATTATTAGTCGATGTTTATCTCGTATCTAGCACCTTTTACGGTGTAACGGACAGCGAAAAATGTATAATTAACGCCAACTTCTGAACCGAGATCTTTGTCAAATCAAACTGCCCCACGCACAAATCACTAAATCAGTGTTGTTTAGACACTTCAACTTATATTCGGGGGAGATAATTCAATAATCCCCGAACGTTGAATAGAATGCAAAGAGGAGTGAAATTTTGATGATTTCCCGGATTTTTGGAGCGTTCACCAGACCAGCCGGTACTCAAACCTTCAATCCCCCGACACTCTTCACTCAATTATAACGAATGAGTGGTAGCAAGCTTTGAATTAGGGGGGCGTGCTGATACGTCTGTTAATATTTTTTTGATAACAAGTTCAGAGTCGGACTTATTTTCTATTCTTGTCAAAATTTTATAACTATTTGGGATAAAACTGGAAAAATGTTATAGTATATAAATGTTCTAAAATATGCCTATTTACCAATTTATTGAATGATTATGGTTATATGTAGGTATCCTACAGGCTATATTTAGGAGATGTATATTTTCTAATAAAAATCAAGACATTATTTGCATGCTTCCCTTTATCGTATTTTCTTGAAAACATGAAAATGTACGACGATTGCCTTTCTATATCCAGTTTGTTACAGCCTTTTGAATGGCAAAGAGAGGCAGATAATGGTGAATCTGGAAATTTTATTAAAAGCTCTGTTACGGCCGCCTTTGAAATAGGCGCACAAACACAAAAGGCCTAAAAATCGTGACTCGGAGCTTTGCATACCGTCGAAAAACGTGTACAAAAGGAGTACGTATTACGCCGTCTAAACGCAAATAATATGTCTCATGTAAGATTCGCGATTTCGCTTTGGATTCAAAATCGTTATAAAAAAAGTTAAGGAGTTTTTTGATGTTTTTAATAAATAACATCCCCGTTTTTATTATCTTTTTGTGTTCGAAAAAAATTAAAAGGAAGCATTGCTTGATGTGGAGCTTTATTGTATTGATTCAATTTCAATTAAACTTTTGGATAGAAACACATTAATTATTATTCAGGTACCTAAATCAGGAGATCATAAAAAAAAACTTTTGTATACACTTTTGCATTGAATAACGGTGAATAACTTTTAGAAAATTGTTTTGAACTGGAAATCGAAACTAAAACATGCACAATAATAAAATATTCCTAATTCGAAACGCGATCGCAAACTCCTGGCATTCGAAAACTCACAATTTGATACAGTAGTATACTTGAAGCAGAGGTTTGTATAACGCATTGTTATTTATCGATCGTTTGGTGTACTTCAACAAGTTATTAATTCAGAATACATCATTAAAACTTTTGAGACTTGCCTTGAATATGTCGGGGTAGCAATACCATACCTGACTGCTTTTGTTAGAGTCCGCCATTGTCGCGATCCAAACAATACATTGTGCCGCTTACAATTATAATTATGTTTCAGTTTTACTCGTCAGAGTAGTAATTAAAAATATTTAGGTATTATTCGAAATTTGATTTCAGTGTTACTGCACATTTTGTTATTTTATTAGCGTATATGAAGTTCTGTCAAATATCATCCAATTTGGAAATTTTGCACAGTAGAATTTTATTCGAAAACCGTGAAAGTTTGGATGCGTTTTGTGAATTGAAAATCCGTATGAACCGTTACTAAAGTTTCCATTATCTGTTATATTAAGGCATTAAAAATGAGGAAAGAATATATTTACTCTTTTTCTATGTTAAAATAAAGAATCAAACAGTAGTCATAATCGTATAAAATTTTCTATTAACAGTCAAGAACCCGGTTCAATTCCACGAGCTAACTATCCGTCTGCAGCTACTTTATAGGCAATCAACGATGAAAAGAATACCAATAAAACCGAATGAAAATTTCAAAATGGAAACACAACTGGACGTCTTGATGACTAAGCTGTAGGTAACAATAACTTCGTGTGAGTTTGGATGACTTGCCAGTACTGCGACAGTACCATCTGTTATGAAAGCGGTTTTTTATTTTTTCATAGTACGCACTCTAGGAAATTACGAGTTTGCAGATACAGCGTGTCTAATGAAAGTATATCCAATTTATTAAGTAAGTTTTACAAGGGATATATTCAATATTCATTAGAGATCACCAATGTAAGACCTTAGTACTCTATTGAGTCCTTATATTAGATAAATATTCAAAGTTTTACAACATCCCATAGGTAATAAATAGTGGATCTGCAATTTTACTATGATATAAGTACGTATGTAATAATAACTGATATTTCAATGTTTGCTTTTTTGAAGATATTTTGATTATACAAGTTTTCTTTTACGTGTAGTGCAAAGTTTTCAGTAAAATATAGATTCGGATACAAAGGCATGGTGACCCAACTTTTCTGCCGACGTGATAGAACAAAATTCGAACATCGATCACGATCGAATAGGCAAGAACCCCAACGAAATGTTTGCATAATTAGATTAAGCGAATGAAACGTAAAATAAATGGCTTATTTATTCCAATGGCCCAAACTAAAATAGAAAAACCGGACGTCCTCTATCGTTAACGGAATAGAGAAAGAACGGAGCCAAAAATGTCCCAGTCTCGATACATCAAACGGGCGAACGGCGTTTCGAGCCATTGTATGCCATTGTTGCTAACTTATATTTTATCGGCGTTCGACAATGCGAATCTCATTTTCATCCGAATGGCTCTTTTCTGCTATGTAAATTCTTTTTTCGAATATGCACAGTAAATATTTTCCACCTTTTATAATGTCGGACGTGTTTTCTTGGCACCGGAGAATTGCCGAGCCTCGCCTCGAAT